GGATAAAAAAAATAGATGAGCTCAGGACCATGATGGAAGCCATGAATGGCCAGCATAGGAAAGAAATGGAAACTGTGAATGCCAAACATAGGAAAGAAATGGAATCCATGAAAAAGATTCAAACGGATATCCAGGAGATTAAAAACTGTACTGAAAGTATTCACAGCAGAATGAGACAATCTGAAGAGAGAATATCAGATATAGAATATAGAAGACAGGATGGCAGTCAATGACCATGAAAAGAGAGATCTCATAAAAATTGTAGGGGACCATGAGAAATTGATCCAACAGCTCCTAGATTACACAAAGAAGAGTAACATAAGACTGATAGGAGTCCACAAAAAAGCAGGAGAAAGTACAAATGACATAAAAATACTGTTCACAGAATTAAGGACAGAAAGCTTCCCAAACAAAGTGAAAGAATTTGATATACAGATAAGTGAGACATATAGGACTCCAACTAGCTGTGGTCAAAAAAAAAATCTACACTTAACAACAGTAACAAAACCTAGGCTAATATGTTTCACCTGTAAAATGGGCCATTCTCCTTCTGGGGGGTGGGCCATCTTTTCTCTAGGCTTCCACTACCTTGAGAGAAATATAAATGTTTCTAGTTCCAGGAAATAATGCAACTCTCTCCCAAGGGTCTATATCCTATTTCTTTGATTGTATACTTAAAATTCTCCTTCACAAATCCCTTTTTAACTCTTACTGATGTGTCCTAAAAATTTTTTTTTTCTGTGATGGAAGTCAGCAACCTTCAACCTATTACATGGGTAGAGTGAATCTAGTTTTCCCATCTCCAACTTGGGATCCATTTAGGGAATCACTATCTATCAAAATATCTATATACCTGAAATGTACAAAATTTAAAAACACAACAAGTAAATGAACACAAAGCATAATATATATGATAAAAAGCCTTGGTCTTTATAGTTGTTACTCAGTTTCTTTCATTATTTCTCATGATATTTTTCCTTTTTGTCAATTTTTACTTTTTATTACTATATGTTTTCACTATGTAATGATTATATTCCTTATGGGGAATTTCATTCTCACACTCTTTAAGAGAAGAGACTCAATAAGTTTAAGGCATGGATCTTACCTCAAACAGCTCAAAAATGGCAGAACTGGAACTCCACTCTACTGAAGATTCCAAAGTCCAAAAGAGGTTGGCTTTCTGGAGCTAAGGATGAGAAAACTCAAAACAAGAGAAAAGCAGGGCCAGTATTTCTTAAGGAAGAGAGAGAATGTGGGGGTGCCTGTCCCCTTCATAAGGGAACCTTATTAAGGTGTCCTGGGAGATCTATATTTTTCCTCTTCATGTTTACATTGAACCACAGGACAATACTCTTGGTGACCTGAAATAGCCCAATGTTCAGTTGCCAAAGGATTCTCAATTCAGGTTCCCCAGAATATTCATGATTGTGTCATTTTTACACACTGAAATAAATGCACAATAAGATCTCATTTCAAATTTTGTTAACATCAACTTTAGAATTATAACTACAGGGCTGGGGGTGTTTCCTGGGTTTAATCCCGATTACCAACTCTGGTTGTGACTACAGAGTATGTTATGATTCTGGAAAAATCTCATATTACTTTTCTTCAATTACATAAAAGATACTCATTTTTTTCCTTGAAAAGCTATTGATAATTTCCCTTGCTTTAGTCATTTGAAGTCCAAGGTATAGCACATTATAATGGCAAAAGGTAACCTATTATTACATTTTTTCTTGTAGAAAAAACATAATAAAGGAAAAATTCTTATATATTTTGCTGATTTTATGAGTAAAATATAGGTGTAGCTTTTATATTAGAGGAAGGTATAGATTAGACAGTGAAGTCTGCCCAGAAATCCCATTCTTTAGCATGCATCACACTTAATAGTTTTATGGCCCTTCTTTCAGACTTTGTATTTTACAGAGTTTACAAAGCACTTTCACATACTTCATCTCATTGTAACTTCACAACAGTAGTATTCAATTATAAATATGAGATTGGGGAAATTGTTTTCCAGTGAACTTTAATAACCTTCTCACAAAGGGGAGCTACCATGACTGACTACCTTCTATTCACATTTTTTTGCAAAGCCAGACCAGGATTGATTCACTGTGACCTTTCATGCTCTATTCATATAGCAAAGAACAGACTGGGTTGTGGAAAGTAGAATCAATCCAAAATCAGCTAAGCATTTTGGTTTTATCAGCTGTAGCCTTAGCTAAACACAAAATATTTGCATGGGTAATAAATAAAAACTGAATGATGTTTCATGGCACCAGAAGGATGTTTCTTCAAGTTCACCAACAAAGAGAAATCTGGGGCTAGCCAATCTAAACTGTGGTACAATATTGAGTTCAAATTAAGGTAAAGTGTGGTGCCTTCTTCCATGTAAGTGGATAGAGATAGACTTTCACCAATTACTGTTTGATAAATTAATGGAATAAAACAAGCACCTTAACCCTAACAGCAAAATCTTAGAGTTGATTGCTTAATTAGAGGACTTTCTGTTGTAACAGAACTTATAAATAAGATCTTTAAATCGAGGCTGGGTTAGGAGAGTATTAGAGAAAGGTTGATGTTTACATGAATCTGATTACCATATTTCTACACTATACTACAAGAAAGATAAAGACCTTAATTCTAAAGAACCAAATTAATGTTGACTTTTAAATTACATAGTTTGTATATAATTCAGTGTTTCTTTCGGCCAAGAAGTTGTTTCAAGGAACCCATTATGGTGTCTAAGGACTAATGATTACATTTGTCTCCAGGAACAAATTGAGGAATCATTAAAAATTTTCAGCCTTCACCCATTTTTTTCAAATCATGAACAAAAAGATTTATTGGGAAAGTTAGCTATCTTTACATTTGTGACTTTAACATTTGAGGCTTGTATGTTTCTTTTAAACTCTTCGGTCTCTGCTGTAAGCAGGAAGAAGTAGTGAGGAAAATGGATATCATTTCCATGGCAACAGAAGCACAGCAACAAGTCTCTGACTTCTCTTGCCTATGAGGAAAATGCAGAGTGACTTAGATCACTGTGACCTAGCTTGAAATGTTGTAATGGCCCTGATAGTGATTCATGTCTTCACAAAACAAACAGCTATCTCTCTAACCCCTCATGGCTTAGAGGAGCCTCCTCCACAGGACTGTCTTGGTTGCTGTGCTGTCTTTGATGACAAGACCCTGGCAGCCAGTCTAAAACAGAAACGAACATTTGTGGAATTTTAAGTGGTTTGGATCAGCAGTTGTCATGTACAATTGATGCTCATTTATATTTCACTACCCAAAATCTAATGCTGCCCCAAATTAAGAAAGAAATATTTCAAATACTAATCAGAGCTAATCCTACCTTAATTTAAAAAATTAGCTGTCCTACCTTCTTTCAATCTTAGTCTCAGAAGGGAGATTCAATATTTCCTGACAGTGCTTTAAATACTTTGCTGTTCAGACTTCAATGAATTCACAATAATTATATCAGTTAAACCAGCCTGGGCTTTCCAAAGCTATTGCAATCTTAGCGTACTATCGAACTCCTTATGGAATTCACCCTTTGATAGTAAGTTTAATAGAGAAAAAGCCCATAGGCAGATGGATCACCACTCAACCATTTAACTCCTTTACCTGTTAATTACTGCTGCTGCTGCTATTGTTGTTGTTGTTGTTAATCTTTTGATTTGGTGATCAATGGTTTTCAATCCCTTCCTTTCTAGGAAGTTTAAATTATACAGTATCTAGGACCCATATGTTATTCCCAGGCAAGAGTTAAGAAGGCCTAATGATCTAGATCAAGCCATAAAAACATTAGTAAGTAGTCATTAAGAACTGATTTAATATTCAGTATCTAAACCTTTCATAAGAGTTTTCATTCTGTTATTGCTATAAAAGAGACTAAAAATTATCTCTTTTTACAGATGGAGAAAGTGTGAGATAACAGTATGCCACTTTTTGGGGGAGGTAGCAATTTGTTTTAGTAGAAATTAATTCTACCCATCCCTCATCACTTACTGAAGAACATTCAATAATTTCATCATAGATTTGGCTTCAGTCAGATTGTTCATTCTCTCTCTCTCTCTCTGTCTCTCTGTCTCTCTTTCTCTCTCTGTCTCTCATACATTTTACATAATATTGGGTTTTAATGCAAGTAATGTATTTTCATCATATCCATGCCCCCCATCACCCATCCTTACACCTCTCTCCCTTCCACTAGAGTCCATTTCTACTGATTCAAATTCTCCAGGACAAAAGTATTCTTCATATGCATGGTAGTAGTTTGAATATGTTTTTCACTCCAAGACTCATGTTGAAATTTAATTCCTATTATGAGATATTAAGAGGCAAGTTAAGGTGGACCCTTCAGGAGGTAACGAGGAGTCCACCCTCATAAATGCATTAATTCATTCATGAAACTAATAGATACTATGGCTTGTATTTAGATGACCCCAAAGCCTTCTCGAGTCATAGGTGGGGCTTTTTTAGAGGTGGATGAATCTAGAGTGTGTGATACTAGAAGTGATTCATGATGCAATGCTATGCTCAAGGGCACTAGGGTTAAGGGTGTGAATGGTACCCACCCTAAGTAAACAGGATATGATAAAGGGGCAGAAAAATGCTGTTAAGGTCCCTTTTTCTTGCTTGGCTATCTTGGGGGGCCATGAACTATTTCTCCCTTGCAACACTTGTCTACCACACCACCCTGCCTTAGAGCCAGCCAATTATGGACTAAAACCTCTATAAACTGTGAGCTAAATCAACTTTTCCTTATGTAACTTTGGGTGTTGGGTATTTTGTCTCAACAAGGACAGAGAAGTAACTAAGATAATGGATTGATGAGTTATCCTGAGAGTGAGTCAGCTATAACAACCAGTTTGAGTAATCTCTGGCATGCTTCCTTGCACACCATGTGATGTGCAAAGCCTCATATTTGCCAACAAGAAGGAAATCACTAGATGCAGCCCTTGACTTAGACCAGAACCGTGAGCAAAAATAAACCCCTTTGCTTAATAACTTATCCAGGCCATGGTATTGGGTTATTATTAGCAAAAAATGGACAAAGACATGCTCTATTGGTGCTATCCACACTTCATCTGTAAATGACTGAACCAACACAAATGAGCAAAATTGGGAACTGTTTTCCTTTAGAAGAATAGGCAAAGAGCAGGAAGACATTTGCATAAAGCCATTAAGCAAGTGAAAGAATGACACTGGCTCCCCTCCATACGAGTGGGGAGCCTGGCTGACTGAGGAGCTTGGTGTGCTGACACAGAACTGGAGGCATGGTGAGTGCAGATCCTTCTTATTTCACTAAATGATCTCTGAATCCTCCCCATCAGAATCCATCTTGGCTTCTTTGACACTATAAAAAGAAAACCCACTATAAACCAGTTATCACATTTGGACACTTTAAAATTGTTTTCTCATAATTTCCCATGTAAAAATAAATAAAAAGCTATAGAATGTATACTTTCTAACAAAAAAACACAAATTATCAAATAGATTCACATAAATGATTATGAAATTGGAGCAGCCTACAAACTGAAGATGTTTCAGTGTCAAAATTGAGGAGGGATAAAAATATGATAAAGTTGACTTCTTAGTCATAATTTACCATGCTTTCTAATGACCAATTTTATTGTTTTGCATTTGAATATCTCCCAGAAATCTAGATTTTCACTATTTTTTTGAAGTTTTCTTTTTAATCCTGCCTTTGTCTATTTACATACTGCTCCAAGATAAATATCAGCGACTAAATTTGCTATTTTCATTCTAAGTGGGACCACTTTTGATATATTAGTAGGCTAACTTTGAAAAGGTTGCTTCCCAAAATAATGAATTTGGATAGTTTGTAGAATTAACATGAAGTTGGGATGCTATTGTGTTAAGACAATCAAATCTAGGAGTCACAGGATATAAAGGCTACTAATTCTGCCTTTTATTAATTGGACAGAGTACTTAGAATTCAGTAATTTAAGCCTCCCCATACTTTTAGAAGGTATAAAATTACATAAATTTCAGTTAGTTTAAACTACAACCTAGGAGTGGTCAGTCACCATAAGCAAAACTTCACACCCTAGTTGTTATCAGTTACCCTATTAATTAGTAAGTTCACACTGCAGAGGTGATTTGACTTTCACTTCCCCAATAAATTCTCTGAATTTATTCCTAGCTGGCATTTTTTTAAAATGGGATTTTATTAGAAAAATTAATGGCTTGCTAAATAGAGCCAGGGATGCTGGAAATAGGGCTTAACTGGCAAAAATAGGAATATTAAAGACATGGGTTGGGCTGGGGTTATAGCCAAGTAATAAAGCACTTACCAGGCGTGAGGCCCTGGGTTTGATCCCCAGCACAAGACAGAGACCATAACAGAGAGACAGAGAGAGAGATGGGGGGCTATTTAAAATAGTCTAGACTTGCGGGGCCCCAGAGAGAGGTACTGGGTCACCAGGAGCCCCGCCCCATCCAGCCCGCACCAAGCACACTGGTGGGAAACAGCCAGAAGGTAAGGCCCCCTCGCCACTGGCCACACCCACAGTGGCCACGTAGGCACCTGTAGGAACACCCACACACACACTCCTCTGGCCTATTGGCTGTACCACTACCTGGTTCCACAATACAAAGACACAGGGAACACCAGACCACCTTACTGAGTAAGTTGGAGGTCTCATCTCCCATCAGAACCAGGACTATCTTCAGGGGAAGGGCAGTTGGAACCTGCAGTAGAACTTTGCAGAGTTCAACTCTTCAGGAGGACAGAGAGCTCAACTTGGGACTTACAGTCAGAAATCTGCCTGAATCTCATGGGTCTGTAATTGGCTTCCTGAGATTCACTGACTTATACCTGAACACTGCTACCCACATTGTCTATTGTTACAGCAGAGACATACCCTGAAGGAGTCCCTTCATTTTCATTTTTATTTCCAAAATTATTATTATTGGGTTTTTTTGCTCTTATTTTTAATTTTTTTTATTTCCTACTCTTTTCAAATTCTTAGTTTTCTCTTCTAATTTTCTTTCTTTTCTCTTTCCTTTCTCTCCCTCTCTCACACTCACTCTCTTGCTGTTCCACATTGTTCTTCATTTCCCTTTTTTTCCTGTTCTGGCCCTAATTCAGATTTCTTCTCAATTTTTCTTTTATTCTCTTTTTATTTCTCCTGCATGTGTCCTCTGGCCTCACTGCTAACCTTCCCCTATCCTCCTACCTATATATCCCTCCCTCCATAACTCCTTCTAACTCCCCATCCCTAAGGGTAAAGTTGCTATATTGAAGCATTTATTTACTATAAACATATGTTGGATAGGTCCTCGATTTTTATTTAATTCACACAGTTAAAGGTGATAGATTAATAACTACCACAAATTGTCATTTTCTAAGATTTACCTGCTGGGGATTTAGCTCAGTGGTTCTGGCACCTGCCTCACAAGTGCAAGGTCCCAAATTCGATCCCTGGTACAAAAAAAAAAGAGTTCTAAGATGTACTTGATGCTAGGGTGTTGTTGATTGTGTCACTTGGGTTAAGGTGTTGTGATTGATCTAGTCAGTGGTCCTTCCTGGTATAATGAAAATGAGCCAGCCTCAGAGTCATCAGAGACTCAAAACCTAAAGATGAGCTATATCTGGAAGACACCTCTGAGAAGCAATCATTCCATATGGGTTCTTATTATAAGCAACAAAGACACTTATAATAAGCAATTTTGAAATAACAACCCAGGAATTAAACCAAGGACAGTACTAAAATCAAAAATGAGAAGACATTTAAGCAAGGCACAAACTCAGACTTCCACCCCACCAAGGGTAAACCCTGGGGGAAATGAGGTGGAAAAGTCTGATAACCAACCACCTGGACACCCTGAACTGACAGCACAGGAAGTAACAAAACAGATGAATGAGGCTCTAGGAAAATTCAAAGCAGAAATAATCTCCCAGATAACTACAGTGATGGTGAGAAGAGTGAAAGACATGATTAGAGGCTCTAGAACAGAAACAGATTAAAAAAAATAGATGACCTCAGAAACATGCTAGAAGCCATGAATGCCCAGCATAAAAAAGAAATGGAATCTGTTAAAAAGATTCAAACAGATATTCAGGAGATTAAAAACTCCATTGAAAGTATCCACAGCAGAATAAGGGAATCTGAAGATAGAATATCAGATAGAGAAGACAGGATAGCAGTTAAAGATCATGAAAACAGAAATTTCTTAAAAATATTAAGGGACCATGAGAAATCAATCCAATGGCTGCTACATGATGCAAAGAGGAATAACATAAGACTGATAGGAGTCCACAAAGAAACAGGAGAAAGTACAATTGACATACAAAAAAACTGTTCAAAGAAGTAATAGTAGAAAACTTCCCAGACAGAGGCAGAGAATTGGACATACAGAAAATGAGGCATATAGAACTCCAACTAGCCACGATCAAAAAAAATCAACACCTAGACATATAACAGTCAAGATCCCAGAAACTCAACAGAAGAACAAAATCCTACAACAGTTAGAGAAAAGAAACAAGTCATCTACAAAGGAAAGCCCATCAGAATCACAGCAGACTTCTCAACACAAACCCTGAAGACAAGGAGAGCATGGAGTGAAGTATTTCAAGCCCTAAAAGAAAATAACTTCCAACCTAGACTGTTGTATCCTCCAAAATTATCTTTCAAAATTTATGGAGAAATTAGATACTTCCATGACAAAGAAGACCTGAGAAAGTTCATGAACACCAAACCAAACCAGCACTCCAAGCAATTCTAAACAATATCTGAGAGAAAAACAGTGAAGGTCACAACTCCATGAGGCCCAACAGAGGGAAGCCACCAGGCAAGGTAAGAAACTAAAGGGAAAGGGGGAAAAATATGAAATAAAAGAGCCAACAGCAGTAAAATATCATGACAAGGATGAGTCAATATCTATGAGTTATAACCATCAATATTAATGGCCTCAATTCACCAATCAAAACAAATAGACTGGCAGAATGGATTAAGAAGTAAAATCCAACAATATACTGTGTACAAGAAACACACCTAACTCAAAAAGAAATTCATAGACTGAAATTAAAAGGATGGAAAACAGTTCTCCATGCAACAGGAACCCAGAAAAAAGCACGGGTAGTTGTTTTATTTGCAGAGAAAGTAGATTTCAAACCAAAACTAATTAAGAGAGACAAAGATGGTCACTACATCCTTGTGAAGGGAACAATCCAAGAGGAAGA